AAAGGTCCCTCCTTAGTTTCTTGGGCTGTAAAGCAATATGGGAGAAATGTATTTTCAGATTTTCAAGATTCTGTTAATGTAACCTTACAATACAATAGCATTAGTTCATCTGAGCGTGCTTCCTTTCTGGATTACCTTGGAAAGCTGATCTTAATTTTGCCAGTCTTCAACTTTTCTCATAGGGTGAAATGGGCTGTCTCTGCCATGCTTTCATTGGAAATGTAAGTTGAAGATTGAAGCATACTGTCTGCAAATGAGTGTTCCTGAGAGTCTGCCCTTAACAATTACTAGTAAAGCAGGTTTAACTATGTAACTATAGCAGAAAGGAGATTTATTTACAGGTTTAGGTTCATAAGAATGAACCATATGCTGTGTGTCTGAATTTTGATCATATGATCATGGGGTTGTTGCAACAGTTGTAAGTGTGAAAATGGTCATAACTCACTTTTTTTCAATGACGCAGCTTTGATCAGTCACAGCTTTGATCATTTGTAAGTTGAAGACTACCTATATCTCCTCATCTCCTTCTGCAGACTAAATTAAAGGACTAGTTGTTTCTTATACAACTATCCCCCTGGCTATGACTCTTCCTTCTGTCTCCAAAGGTCTAATCTACCAACCTCTACCTCTGTAGGCAATTGTCAAGCAACATTGGAATTATAATCCAACAACATCCAAAGCAGGGGTGGGTTCCAGCAGGCACTACTGCCAGTTCACTATTGTGTGCTTTGCCCGCTTGATGCACACAATTAAAATTGTTCTGTGTATGCGCAGAACTGAAAAACAAGATGGTGGTGCCTATGGTGCCACCCAGAGAACCGGTTCGGGTGTGTGGCAGGCCTGGGTTGCTGCCGGTTCCAGCGACCCAAGCCACCAAACCACTTTTGGCCGAACTGGTCCAAACTGGTAGGAACCCACCACTGATACAAAGAGCTATAAATCTGCTACTTCTGATTAAGAAACTTGCAAATAGAATGTCAGGGTGATGGCCAATATAATTTCAAACATACAAACATATGCAAATATATATTTAGGACACACACACACACACACACACATACACACACACACACACACGAGATTCATTTTCAAACTCTCCCCACACCAGTCAATAGACTAGTGAATGTATCAGGCTTAGAAGATTATTGTATCAATTGATTTCTTCTTGATCCCATCAGTTGTTTAATTGTGCAAAAATATATACCACAGCATATTATAGATGCACTAACTGAAAGGAACAATCCTTTTCTGAAAACAATAGAATGAATTGCAGAAATACTTTTTTCTCCAGATAGTTGCCAAAGAGTAATCTTTTGAAAAATGTTATCAGCTTGATATTTGAAATGATGTAACCTAGAAACCTTTGAGAGGCAGTGTCTTTATATGGAATAAATGACAATTGGTTTGTCTTCTTGGCAACAAATTACATTGTCAGGTTTTTTTTAGCTTCGTGATGAGCAGTAATTTGTGATTTTGAATTTGATCTACTGCAGATGAAAATTACCTAAAATTGGTATTGTGCAGATAAATAAGTAAATAAATGATGAAAAATATACCTTATGGGATATGACCCATTCAGGTCAGAATTTGGTAGCTGTAAGGGTGAGATGGATGATGGGAAGAATATTGTATTTCTGATCCCATTCTAGACATTTTTATAAATTGAAGAATAGTAAAGTGTAAGACTTTGATTCATTGTCCAAACTTAGATGGCAGATTGTGTGAAAAAACTGACAGCTGAATTATACAAATGTCTTTTCTTTGATTGAATATTTGGGTTAGCTGAATATACAGTTGCGTAACGCTAATCGTAGCTGTAGAAATCCAGGTTCAGATCTTCAGTCAACTAATGAGACTTTACTAGATAATTTTCACTGAGCCACTCTCTCTCATCCTAACAATCTTCTGGGGTTCTTGTGAAATTGCAAAAGTAAAAAGTATTTTCTACCTTGCAAAAACATATAGAAATTATGCCCATAATAATTACTATGATAAGAAAAACCTAGTGCACAATTGAACCATTGCATTCTAAGCCATGATTATCAAAAGGCTTGAATATTCACATTATAAATGATTAGAAGTATAGAGTTGAAAAAGGCCATTTAGGTCATGACACACCTCCCTCCTTAGTACAACCATTCAATAGGGGACTAATTCAGACATTCTCTTAATTCTGGGCTTTGTGTCCATAAAAAGGAAAAGAAACTCAAATGAGATAAGGCAAGACCATGATCTCAAACCATAACAAACCATGATCTCACTGTCGCCATCATTACTACAATCTATTTTCTATTGCATGCTTTAATCAATGTGGATCATTTGTTGAACTGTTAGCACTTGGGCTTTGCTTTAATTTTAACGTTTCTGATCATATTGATCCTGTGGGCTAGGGCTGACAAACTCCCAGCCCGTGGGCAGGATGCCTCATGCATTGGCCATGCCCACCCCCATTTTAGCAAAGGGGGAAAAAGTCCTGATACATTATGTGACACTGCCATGATGTAATGAGTTTGACACCCCTGCTGTAGGCAGTGGCTTTTCTAATAGGAAGCAACTGTTCAGTTCCCCTCCCCCGTGTGATTACCCCCTTCTTAGATTTCTGAAAAGCAGAATGTGTGATCTAAAATAATTGGTAGGAAGAAGTGGCAATGTATTCTGCCCAGGATCTTTTAAAGACCTATAGCTGTGATGGTGAACCTATGGCATGCGTGCCACAGCTGGCACAACCTATATCTGTTGACATGTGAGCCGTCTGCTCCAGCGTCAGTTCCTGAACTTCCGGTTGGCCTGTTGGGTGTGTTTTTTGCCCTCCCCAGCCTCCGAAGGCTTTTCTGTAGCCTAGGGTGGGTGAAAATGGCTCCTCTCCCCTGGAGGAAATACCAAGCTCAACTTGAAGGTGAGCAGTGCGACACACACTGGGGGAGTTTGTGGAGGGGTTTGTACACACATGCATATGTGGGGGTGCACTTTGCATTATGGGTGCCGGCACACACATGCACATTCTCCTGCATGTGTGCTCACATTTTTGGCACCCAACAACAAAAAGGTTAGCCATCACTGGCCTATAGTGTCATAGTCCATCACAACAATTTATGATAAATTATATTCTAGCTTAGTTTCTGACTGAAATAATTTCAAAAAATAGAAATGATCATTTATATGTTAGATATGTTTTAATGTTTGATATGGTGTAGCACAAATAATTTCTTAAAAAGAACTCAGGGTTCAAATCAAGTTGAAACACCAGGATGTTATATTGACAGTGTATGATATTTAATGCTTAGCCAAAAGAGTTCAAGATTCAACTTAACTGTACATTAATCTTTTATATATCAAAAAGATCTGGTGCCAGGAGAAAGAATAGGATTTAAATATTGAATAAATTTCACATTTTCAATGCTCTCTACATAAAGTAATTACAAAAATTGGCATAGCTATGAATAACATTTTATGAATATTTAGCATATCTAAAAATAAGATCTAAGTATATAAATGAACAAAAAGCTAATCATAGTACATAAATACTAATAACACTCTAATCTGTTGTGCAGTTTTATCTACACCAAATCTGTTTCACTTTCACACATAATTAGAGTGGTTCACTTGAATGACTGCATTTGTAATTTTTGCAGTAAATTTTAATATTTGTAAAGTAAACTTTATACTGTATTTCCCCAAAAATAAGACAGGGTCTTATTTTCTTTTCACCCCCAAAATAAGCACTTGGCCTTATTTTTGGGGAAGTCTTATTATTTTTGAGGTTCAGGAAGCAGCAAGCGTGGTCACTTCATGGCTGCTGCTGTGTTGCAATATTTTTGGGGAGGACTTTTTTTTTGAAGGACTTATTTTAATGCATGTGCTCAAAAACCCAATTGGGCTTATTATCCGTGGACGTCTTATTTTCAGGGAAACAGGGTAATCTATATATATAAAAAACAAATACTACTCACTTATCACGAAATCTCTAGTACCGTAAAGTCTACAAATTTGAAATGTGGCATGTATGTTCCTCTTGGCTTCTAGGTGCTTGCTTAGAAAGGATTTTTCGAAATGATCATCAGATCATTAGTATTTTTTATACAGTAATTAACACCCTCCGATGCTAAGGAGTTCTACTTCCCCTCCCCATCTGAAAAGAACACTATTCCAACTGCCAGTTGCCTTACATTTTGTTACCTCAGTTCAAACTGGCAGACATTCCACTCTTCACTCAGGAGTAGTCTGGGGCTTCTTACGGTACTAACCATTGGTACTTCAACAAAATGTCTATGGTGCCTTTCACCTATGGAATTGCTTCCGGACTCAAGGCAGCAGGAGCAATATTCCCTTATGTTTTTCAATCACCAACCACCACTGAGCCAACAGATTGTGAATCGCATTTCTCCTGCATAGCCCGATCACATAGTTTTGTCGTGAAGCACGGGTATCTAGCTCATGAATACATAAAATGACTGGTGATTGCTTTGAAACCAAGTTCCATTTCCATGATTTCATGCACTGTTTTTTCCCTAATGGATTTCTAGAAAAGAAATGCAATAATATTGGGTCAATAGAGGTCCCCAGACCACCTGATTTAGTCCTGGATCTAATAATGTTTAGCATCTATAAAATATTAACTTAAATTGCTTTGCATTCATTTCTTAGGGGTTATTATTCAGTGCCATGTGGAGATGCAGGTTTATATCAACTAGCGCTCCTTTTATTTTTCCTGTACAATTTTCTGACCAATTTCTGATGTCGGGTGAATTCATACTAAACAAGAAACCATGACATAGCATTACAAAGACTTTTCATCAATGCCCCCCATTGCTCAGACATTTACAACGAGAAATAAAATTGGGTGTTTTAAAAAAAATATAAATACAAGAATGACAGTGGCTGACTTGGTTGTAGTGTTGCAAATTTTTGGCCAGAGATATCATATATACCTCCGTTGTGACTAGGAACATTGAAATGTGCCATATTGTTACTCTCAGCTAAATAATTTTATTTCTTTTTAGAACTGAAACATGAAATCCATGTTTGGAAGCTGACAGCCCAGAGAATTAACCCTGCAAGCAGAGAAGAAACAGCAGTGAAGTGCCTCTTAATGCAAAAAGTTAGGACTCTAGAGTTCTTGCTAAAGAAAAAGCTCAAAACTTTCCACAGGTAACATAAGACTCTTGATAGCCAGTCTTATTGGAAACAAGACCTACACTGAATCTTTTTTAACTTTATTATAAATGAAAGCGTTAGGACTCAGGGTTTCCAGACTTAGCAACTTTAAGATATGTGAACTTCATTTCCCAGAATTCTCCTATGAGGGGGTTGAAATTGACACATCTTGCTGATCTTGAGAAATAACGGATAAAGTTATGGAAATCTCAATACTTAGACTACTTTTATTTTAGAGCTCCATTTAGGTCTCATATTTAGGGTAATATTCTGTATTTTCTTTCAAATGTCTCTCTTGTCAAACAATGGGTTGCTTGCCCATTTCCTGGAAAACTAAGAAATATGCAGATGTAGTTGGATATTTTTCCACTGTCTTCTGCATCCTTTCCAGGCTGTGAATAGGCAATCATATACTGTATACAGTAAATAACTCTTCACAAAATATCTATCAGCAGATTTTCAAGGTAATTATCTTCATATATGTGGAAGTGATGCATAAATGTACCAAGCGGTGGTGGGATTCAAATAATGTAACAACCGGTTCTCTGCCCTAATGATTTCTTCCAACCACCAGTTCACCAAACTGCTCAGAAAGTTAACAACCAGTTCTCCCGAAGTGGTGTGAACTGGCTGAATCCCACCACTTGTACCAAGCCCTGTGTACCCCCAAATCAGTTCTAGAGAAAGAGGAAATTGACCTGAGAATATTTAGTTATGGTATAAAGTGGACTGAAAAACAGAAGTCAAAGTGCAGGATGAAATCTGGTTTGATAGAGATTCGAACAAAAAATTGAACAAACTCAATTTTTTAAAAAATTAAACAAATTAAATGTGAATGAGATTTTTTTAAAAAACATATCTATATTATATACCTCAATAGGAATCCTGCAGCTGCTATAGATTTAATGGAAATTTAATGGAAAATCTGAGTTTTCTATTACGTGGTGGTCTAGGACCATTCTAAATGAAGCAATTGCTCAGAATTGCATCCCTTAATCATTTAATTTTGTTATCCCCACCTATAAATATTAAAAACAGCAACACCATTAAATAGCTCAAGAAATTCTATTGATATTCACTGTTAGTGAAATATCCATTCTTTTTAAATTCATGGATTGTTGGAAAGAAATTATGTGAAGGGGTGAATCTCTTTGGGTCTATCCATCAGCAAGACAGTTCTTTGAAACTTAAAAAGAACAAGCCACAATTGATATAGTCAGAGGAGTTGGCAAAAGAAAGATTCATTTAAAAATGAGCCCAAATATTCCATTATTTTTTCTTCTGATCCATCCCTAGAAAATAGGTATGTGTTGTGTCACTTAATGGTAAGTGGATATGAACATAAATATTAAGTATAATTACCGGTAACAAATAATGATCTAAGTTCTTATTCTATTAGTATGGTTTTATATATATTATATTTCAGACAAATCTCACAAGAAGATAAAAACTGGGAAACAAATATCCAGGAGCTCCAAAAAAAGGTAAAAAATTCTGAGAAATGTTCATCTACATCTATAATGTTTTGTTTTTCTTAATATTGACAACAATGCAAGTGCACAAAATCTTCTATTTTGAAATCTTCCAAGGACACAAAAAATAATTGGGGAAAAATATTTTGAGCCTGAAGTACACATATAGGTAGTCTCCCTTAGGTCATATACAAATAACTAAAAGGTATTTTAGAACACTTTGTTTTACTTCACAAGACTATTTTTGTCTGAAATAGAAACTGGTTTGTTGCTTTGCCTTTCAAAAGAGTCAGTGTCATTATGCAATTGTATTGTAATTCTTTATTATGGTCAATCTCAGTAAAATCTTAGTAAAGAATAAAATAAAACTAAAACAGTAAAACATCAAAAACCAAAGGGGTATAAGGAACAAAACAGACTACAATAAAACAATACAATCATGTTGCAGAAATCAACTTATGAGAATACAAGCAATACAGTGGTGGGTTCCGGATTCCATTCCAACCAGTACGGTTGGAACAGCTCCGGAGTTACCCACATGCACATGCACGGCATGCACGCATGGCACGCATGGACATGCACATGGTGCGCACATGAGCTCTAGTGTCAAATGACACTTCCACAAGCCTCCACGATGCTTCAGCTGCTCCGCAGAGCATCGCGCAGGCACATGCACGGAAGCACCAACAGCATAAAGTACTGGTAAGGAGCGCGGGCGGGCGGGTGGGCCCTCTGGAGCATCGTACCGGAATGGTATCCGGTGCTCTGGGCAGGATCCGGTATGCCCGTACCGGGGCATACCACCTGCAACCCACTACTGAAGCAATAAAACAAAAACTGACTAATATTTAAAGGATGATATGTGTGGTGGAGGAAAAATACCACTTTCCATTTAACCAAACCACAGCAGCAGAGTATCTGTATCTGACATAGTGCCTGTTATGTATAAATGCTGTTCTGATGAATCAATCTGGGGCAGAGTTAAAAGAGGTATCAATCTAGAATCCCTACATAGTCATAAGCAAACTAAGTCCAACTTCCCTTGAATTCTGTTGACCATTATCTAACTCCAAGCAGGTGATAACCATTAGTTGAGACTGTACACAAACATAAGTAGCAATGAATCAGTTTAATTGGACCTTCATGTCTGGATCTGATATTTTGTACCTAATAGGAACAGATATGGGGGTTTGGAGAAGAATGTTGAGGGAGGCAGCGAGTGCCAGAGGACAACAAATAGAAAGCACCCCAACACCCCAACACTTCTTTGCTGCTTGGCTGAAACTCAGCTCATTGCCTAGGCAAAGAAAGCTGGTTCCTCTCTTCTAGAAAGCCTTCTCCAGAGGGAAGCAAGAGGTCAAAAAGTACACACTAAGAAGTTGCTTATATACACATAGCTGAGGCTGGAAGACTTATTTAGAGAGGAGAACAAGCCTCAAACTGTTGCTGACAGATCAGTTTACTGCCTTGGTTAGATATTTGATATTGAACATTACTTAGAGTTCTAGATTTGGACAGATGAGGCTGTGTCTGTTTATGTATTCAACCATTGTCCTTAAACACTCAAGGGACCGAGGAGAATAAATTTCAGCAAGTTCTTTAGATCTCTGGAGTATGCAGAATTTGCTTTCTGTTACTTGCTAGCCAGCTCCCCACCCTGCTCTCTGCAAAGCTATCTATCTGCCTCAGGATGATTCTACTTTTTATTATTTTTTAATTATATTTATATGCTACCCATCTTACTGCCAAGCAACTCTGGGTGGCTAACAATAATATAAAACCACAATATAAAATGATGAAAGATTAAAAACATTCAGCAGACAATAACTAGTGAGAAAACTGAGTTTCTTGAGAATTTGATTAAAAGATAAGTTGAAAATCAGGCACATATACTTTTATAAAAAGCACAATATAAAATAAAGTGACCCTCATTTTACATGGACAAAGCTGGACTGCATGTGGCATTCCTTTAAGCTTTCCTTAAAATTGCTCAGTTAGACTTTCAGTACTTTGAAATATGGTAGCAATAAGGTTCTTCTAACTTTTGATACTTTAGTTGACCCAAATATCTGGCTGGGATGATGCTGATTGGCCTTCTAAAAATATATCTCTTATAGGGTTTGACCATGGCTATAATGTATTGCCTTCCTGCCAAGTTAGATGGATGAAAATCGAATGCTAAAATTTTTTACAGAAAGATACTATAATACTGCATTTTCTGTTCTATAGATCTTTTCTATCTTATAAGAAATTATCAGGTGGATGTCACTGTGGATAGTCCTAAATAGCAAAAGGATATGCTTAACCAAGATCCATGTCTGCAGAGCCACTTTGATAACACTAGCAGCTTTGTGGAGAGCTACATTGAATCGACATTGGGCCATTTGAAAAATTTTCTTTAAAAATTTTGTCCCAATTCTGGTGATGCAGAATTGCCAACTTGTCATAATTAGATGAGCCATACTTGAATTGTCACACTTGGGTTGTTAGTAAAAATTGTTCCATATTTTGTAGAGATAAAATAATACAGTTAATGATGAGATCTAATGGCTGATGCCAATTTCTTAGAGTTGTGCAATATATAATTCAGATGGGAACTCTGCCTGCTGAATTGTTATTAAAGCAGCTGCATCTATTTCCAGAATTACTTGTTTGTACAAAAATCCATCCACATGTTCCGAAGTACTATTTCTGAACTGCCTCTTAAATAAAGCATCATTTAATTCATCCTAATTTCTGAGCCATTTTATATTTCCATTAGCTAATATTTACTTAAAAATGTTTTAATAACATATCTGATTTCATTATGTAAATGGAGAGAGAATCCAATTCTTGTGAATTAAAGAAGTCCTCAAAACTGCTTTATGCATTAGTCTTATATATGGAGAACATGGTAGCCTCTTCAGAGCTTCTGGAAAAGAATGCCTAGAGATTGGCTATAGATATGTGGTAAACTCTCTTTCTAATCTGGGATTTGATGGACAGCATTCCTAACTGTACATTTTAGTTTAATGCGGTTATCAATTTCTTGCAGATCTTCCCTGCAATGGAAGGTTAGGAATAAAGTGCAATTTTCTGTTTTTCTTATTCTTATAAGTTACCTAGAGGAGAATTTATGGATCTTGAATACAGATAGTTTCCTAAAGTGGAGGTCTATGTCAAATTATTTATTTCATTTGTTTCTAAATGCATGTTTGTGCCTGGGAGAAAATCACATTATCTACTATATACCATAATAAATGAATAAAAGTAGAAGAAAAATACAGTGCTCTACCTGTCTTTTAACCATAAATAACACCATTTGTCAATAACCTGTCATAGTAACTGTCGAGAGGCTGTTTAGTCTTGGACTGTGTGGCTCTTGGTAGTTAAACATTATTATGGGACTTTCATTCTGGTGTTTCTGTTCCTGCTACAATAAGAAAAAATAATGAGATCTTATTTTATTTGTATGATAAAAATGAAAACTTCTTCAATTGAGATGAAAGACTTGCTGCTGTTCCCAAGATTGTCAACAGGGTTCTGCTTGGAAATGTAATACAAATCTCTAAAATGTGTTTCATTCTAAATTTAAAATATTGTTTTCACGCTTTAGATGTTTCCCCTGCCATTTTAATGAAAACATATATTACAATCCTATTTGGTGCTGACTTGGGAAACATGCTAGTATGAAGCTGGATATTTGAAGACTATTTTCACTTGATTCATCTATTTTCTCTTTTGAACAGCACAGAATAACAGACAAGTTGCTTCTCATCAAATGTCTGATGGTTTTAGGAATTGTTATTCTCATGTACTTTCTCAATCCATTCGTTCCAGGAATTCATTTAGATCTTGGTAAGCTCCATTTGGATTATTTATTGGTATTTAAATATATTCTGTTTTTGTAGGAGAAGAGCAGGCAAAGTTGGGGGGCAGAGTTAGGTGCATCATTAGTTTAGAATCATAGTGTTCCCACAAGCACTCCAAGTCTTACCCCTCCTGAATCCCATTGACCCTTATCATTGACCAATTTGAAGTTTAGTTGACCAGATTCTTATGTATGGACTTGAATGAATCTTCTATGCTACAACCTCACAAATGGTCCTGATTTTTTGTGTCTGACACCACAAGGGCTGTGGTGGCGCAATGATTAGAATTCAGTACTGCAGGATACTTCTGCTGACTGCCGGCTTACAGCAGTTTGGCAGTTCAATTGTCACCAGCTCAGGCTTGATTCAGCCTTCCATCCTTTTGAGGTCATTAAAATGAGAACCCAGATTGTTGGGGGGAATATGCTGACTCTGTAAACCACTTAGAGAGGACTGTAAAGTACTATGAAGTGGTATATAAGTCTAAGTGCTATTATTATTTAAGTGCAGTGCTCTTAAGTGCATGCAGGGTTTTTTGTGTGTGTGTGTTTGTGTGTGTGTGGTACTTCAAGACTATATAATTCTATCTCATTTGTTGAAGGCTTGATGATACATTTTTTATATTACACTATAAAAGATTTAACTATTTTCTCTCTGGTTTTCTTGTTGCTGGGTTCTTGACAATTAATCATATAAACTATAATTGATATATACTGTAGTTTATATATTGTGCTACTAGTGCTACAACTGCTCTACCTTTTAAAACAATGGAAAATAAGATTCTTTTTCTAAAGTTCTTGGTCTGGATTCATATGGATTCTTAACAGAGGTAGATTTTGTTCAATTATCTTTTTAAAAAATGTACCATAGATTGCATTGAAGACATTTTATATAATACTTTAGAACACAATTTAAGTTACTCTACATACTTGGGTTGCAGAGGACACTCAGGAATACATTCTTTTCATGTATAATTTTAATTTTCTGTGAATGCATGTAAAAGGGAGCCTAACCATTTCTCTGCCTTTCAGAGCAGTTATCTTTCAAACTGGTGTAGATGCATAAGTAGAACCCCGATTAAGAAAGGGGGCTTAGTAGAAACCTTATTGTATCTCCTAATTATAGCTAAAAGGCTTAGAGGCCTTTCTCTATGCAGTGAAATCTCAAGTTAGTAGACCTGGGTAAAATGGGTGTTGCATGGAATGTACCAGTTTTTGTCATCAATTAACTTGATTTGTTTAATTACATAATTAAACCAGGGATGCAAATTCTAATATATAAATAATACAAATGGACAGAAATTGGATGATTTGCATCATTTGCACAATGATGTCATTAGGCAAATAATGCAGATTGCAGTGCAGTCAATGCCAGATCCTATGAATAATGGACATCCCTCCCCACAATTAGTGAAAATGAGTTTTTGCTCTACTTCAATTTCAGTGTTAGTTAGAGACTGCTTTTAGAAGCCGAAAATTACAGAGGGAAATCCAAGCTCAGGACCAAGGAACATAGAGGTGTGCTTTTTTATATGCTTTGCCAGCCTTGAAATATACAGCTCCTGCAACATTTAGTGCTACAAAAGAAGTACTGCCTTTATTTTTTTTAATGAATTGCAACTATTTTAATATCTGCTGATCAATAGGATATATTAACTGTTTCAATTCTAAAGTATTGTTTATCAGGGCTAGCAAAAATATTTTAAGTATAGACGTATACGGTACATTTGAACCTGGGAGAGGTTTTAAGTTGTTTTGATTTTAATTATTTTTGTTAGCAGCTTTGAATACTTTTTATCAGAAAAGCAAGATTGAAATACTTAGTTACCTAATTTTTGATAAATCTATGCTAAGAGATTCACATGGCTATCACTAAATTCAGTCTTTGGAAGAGAATTACTTCTATCTGTGGAAAGGTACTAGATTAGCACTATGACTTAGGTTTTAAACTAAATATACTTTGAAATCCTACAAAGCTTGCAGTTCTTTTAATATTAAAGTCTACATCTCTACAGCTGGTTACCATCTGACTTCTCTTATCAACATCCTAGTTTTAATTTGATTTAAAAGTCATTCTCTTCCCCCAGAGAATATGTTAGCTAGAATTTTTTTGAGAAGAGCAGGGACTTCTCACAAACCTATAAATGCAAAGGATATTTAGGAGAAATTGGGGGTATTATATATGTGAAGCTGAAACACAGTTTGCATGTTGGAAATGAGTTTCTTTACGCATGTGTTGCCAAAATATTCTTTTTCTATTGATAGTGACAGCAGAGAGGGCAGTGTAATGAAAATACTAATTGTCTTTTCCTGATGCATATTTTAAAGATGAAATAGAACTTTAGCAGAGGAATGGGAGAAAAAAAGCATTTATTTTAGATTTGAGAACCATCTTATCTAATTGCATATTTTCAAATAAAATACATGGATCAAAACTTAATTACTTTTGAAAATTGCAGATCTTCAAATTTTGCTAAACCCTTTGCCAATTTAAAAATGTGTTAGGAAAAAATCTACATCATAGCTATCTGGTATAAATCTGAGCAAAGAAAGAAGGATGAAATACGTGTTGTGATATAATAAAATAAACTCTGCCTTTTATGGTGAAATTTTAAAGGAGACATTGGCTTGTTTCACAAGGCTAGAATGTATGTTTCATCATACTTGAGAGACCGCCTGCTGCCAATTACCTCCACTAGACCGATTAGATCCCACAGATTAGGCCTCCTCCAAATTCCATCTGCCGGCCAGTGTCGNTTGGCTTCGACTCTGATTTAATTTTACATGGTATTTGAAACGCTTACACCCGTAGTGGATCGTATTGAAAGCCAAACGGGAAGTTGGGGTGGTTGGAATGGCCTTGGGTAGCTTCCAGTGGTCAGAATCCCCTCCCATTGGTTAAAAACAAGTGGAGGTGGGAGCGAGAAAGTGACTTTCTGTTGGAAGATCTTGTGAGCAGAGGGAAACATGCTGAGAGAGGGTCTACAAGGGTTTTCCTGGGGGCAAGATACATTTCAGATGGGCATTGTTCCTCTGATAGTGACCCTACAGGAATGCCAGGCTCCTGATATTGTTTGACGCACAAGGAGGGTGACATTATAATTTTTACACCAACTGCTATGGGGCCAATGATGGGGAGATGGCTCATCCTCAGTCTTTTAAGTGTATCATACAGATCGCCATGTAGCTGGGCTTCTGCCGTTTTAGTTCCCCATCTACCTCCCTTGTCAAAGACTATCGTAGCTCTGGTCTTTTCCCCAAATCTGGCTCAACTGGAACAGCATTGTAAGATGAAGACATTGCAGAAAAGCACAACCAGCATTTTTGGCCTAGGTCAGGATCAGTCTGATTAATTAGGCTTTGACCTAACTCTAGCACTCTTAACATATAGTTTCCTTTTCTCAATTGTTGCAGGGGCCCATTTTCCCTATGCTTTGCCCTTTTTCTTACAGGGTTAGTCATATGGTTGACTTTAGGTGTTGGGATTGGCTTACGGTTCAATCCCCAAGCATAAATGATGCGCTGTTGTCGGGAGTGGACCTGTTCCACATCCTGTAACACCCTGTTCTCCAGGATTTTTGACATCCTCAGATCTTTCTTCAAGAGCAAGGGGGGTTGCTCGGGTATTTTCCAAAACTTTGGGAACTACTATTCAAGACGTTATCACTTAGCAAGCTCTTTGCCAATAACAGCCAGAGCCAAAAAAAGCTCATAATTGTCCCTCATGCATAACTTCTTCTAACACAATTCTTTTAGCCTACTGAATCACCACATCAGGGAGAAGGCAGGGGTTATATACGGTTTGGAAGGTTACAGCATCGGCTGCTGGCTCTCCACAAGACCAAATCTTATTTTCTAGAAACACACAACAAATTATAATAAGGATAATCAAACTCACAAAAGTAAAGGATATAGTGGCTACAGATATAAAAGCTTGCACCGCCATATCCTTACAGGTGCTCAAATTCTCTAATTCATCTTGCAACTGATAAGTTGGAACGTTGTTTTCCTTCCTTCAATTCTTCAGCCGTACATTGTCGAGAAACCAGCTTCCGGTTGTGGTTTCT